TCTCTCTCTCTCTCTCTCTCTCTCTCTCTCTCTCTCTCAGAGGAGGTGGAGGTTTTGGAGCATTGCTATTTATTTGTCAGTATAATTACCCAAAACTGCCAACTAAAATGATCTGAAGGCTGATGGAGAGTTGAAACTAAGGCAAAGATTTCTCCATTCGTCTCTGCCATGAATCTGGACCGCTTCCATTTGAACTTGCAAAATACAGAAGAGCATTTTGATGAGTTTAGTTTATCTGTGTTGCAATTTTTTTTTATTTTGTGTGTTTGTGTGTGTGTGTGTTGCAGCTGTTGAATGTTTATATTTCCCAGCAGCACCAAAAACACATACAAATTCAACACAGATTTTGTCAGCCCTGCAAACACTGAGCAGCCTGCATTAACATTTAGCCTACGCTAAAATCGTGACCACCTGTAGGGGTTTTTATCACAAAGTGTACCCTGTGGATGCATGGTTTGCATAAAGGGAACAAAAACACAACTGCCATGTATTTTCAGAGTTTGCGTTTTGCCAGAAAGCATGTTGTTAACTGAATGTATCGTTCAAGTCACCTACAAACCGTATTATGTCGCCACCTATTGTGCACGTTCACTTTAAATTTCTGTGTATGTTTAAACAAGAATTAATCAGACAGATAATGGGAAAAAATAGCCTGCTGATTAATGGTAATTAYGGACAACTTTACAACAATGCTTCCAATCAGAAGATTATCAGCTTTATTCCCAGCCTATTCATTATTTGAAGTATCCTCATCCTCATTGCTTCAATATGCTCCTTCCAGTGTGGTGAAGAGTGAAACATTTACAGTGATGAAAAGAAAAGAAGAAGCTCCATGATTGTGTGTGCTACAGTGGGTCAATGGATTTTTGTGTTGTGATGTCTGAGTTTATGTTTTATTATTTAATTTTTTTACTATTTTTTATTTTTTCGGCATCTTCTCTCCATGTTTTTCCATCATGAGCTTTTTGTGGTTTTGCGTTTAGTTCTGTTGAGATCATTTTGATTTACTGCTTTTATCTTGCGTCATTCTCAGTGTTCTTGATGTATTTTTATTGGTTTGTTCAATGGTTTGCTTTTAGCTACTTTTATCCATCCCCCCCACACTACCATCTAAAATAATTATAAAATAATTACATCACCTTTGTGTCCATCATCATCTTATCTCAGTGTAAAACAACTCCCTTTGGGTTAAATTTGTTCTTTGGACCTGACTTGTTGTTCATAACGTTTAATGTTGAGTTTAGGTTGTTGTTGTTTTGTGTGTGTGGTGTCGGAGGCGAGGATTCATTTTTATGCAATTATGCATTCCCTCCAGCTTATGAATAAAAGTTTATTTAAATCTCCTGCCTGCATTCAAACTGTGACTGCAGTTGAATCCTCCATCCAGCTGCCTGACAAATGAGAAACAGTTTGGAAACGCTTTGTAGAACTTGGATCAGGTCAAAAAATGAAATGTGCACATCTGAACTAATTTCACACGAGTCTTAAAGTTCAGTGGATGAGTGGGTTTTTAACTATATGTAGAAGTCTGACTGTATTTTCTTCAGTCTGTCATAGGCATTTCATTCAATCAATATAATGGTATCTTACCTGGCCACCAGTCAAGTGTTATGCTGGAAATTTCCAGCCAGCCATTTTTAATATCACCACAGATGAGGTCATGGGTTGTTCTCTGAATTTTCTTTGGATGAATAACAGTCTTAATTTTAGACATTTAAGGCACAATTAAAACAAAATTGTTATTAATATGAGTTCAAATTTTGTTTGCAAACTTTTTGCTTTTTAACTTAATTAGCAAGTTTCTCATGATTTGACCGTACGGTTATCTTTCTTTTTTTATTTTTATTTTTTGTCTTTAACAGGAGGTTGTACATGGGGATGAAAAAAGTTGTTTGCATGAGGGTTTTTGTATTTGACTTCACTGCCTTAATTTAGAGTATGCACGTGCATTTTAACCTTCTCCACTGACCTTTATTTCTCTCCTCTGCAGAGAAGTGCCTTCCTTTGCTGACCCTTGTGGCTGTCTGGCGCCGCTGAAGTCGCCTGTGCCTCTGCGCCTGTCCATGCCTGCCGAAGCTGCCAGCCACACTGGGAGCACCAGGACTGCCTCGACTGCCAGCCACATCCACTGAGGCTGTCCCAACACCACTGACGCTACCTCCCCCCTCCCGTCTCCCCCCTTCCCCGTCTCCCCCTCCCTCCTGCTCGGTCTGCCTGCGAGACCCTTCTCCATTCATGCCACTCAAGCATCCTCTGTGGAGGCCGAACACTTCCCTCTTTCTCTGCAGACAGATCCTGATACCGAAGACAAACAGCTTTTATCGGCTCCTCTGAGCGGAAGAAAATTGTTTCGTTGTGGTCCCTTCCACCGGCCTTCTCCTCTCCCTTCGCACCCCTCCCTCCCCTCAGCCTTGCTTTCTTTCATCATGGGCCGGCTTGATCGATAATGTGTTTTGCCGTTCGTCTCATCTGACAGTTCGGCTGACAAGAGAGCAAATTGAGAGAACTGGTGTGTTGTGTGCGTGAGTGTGTGTGTTTGTAAGCAAGAGATTGCAAAACAAAGCTCTGAGGTCATCTGTGGCCCTGGGTGACAGGCTCTGAAGGATTCCTACGTTAGCCACAAATGGACTCTTAGAATGGGCCGCAGGTGGTAGGCGAGTCCAAGGCTTCATTCTGATCAGAACCTTTGGACAACAAACCCACTGAAGCCAGGMCCTTTTCCCATGTCCTTTATTTATTCTCTCCCAGCGCTCATTCCAGTGTCGTTAGAAAAATACAGGCGCACATATTACTCAGTTTGCTGGATATTTCCTGCCTCTAATCGACCCCTCCTGGCCGGTTTGACATGGCGGTGAGCGTGACCCCGATCCGGGACACAAAGTGGCTGACGCTGGAGGTGTGTCGAGAATTCCAGAGAGGAACTTGCTCTCGACCAGACAACGAATGCAAGTTTGCCCACCCTGCCAAGAGCTGTCAAGTGGAAAATGGCMGAGTCATTGCTTGCTTTGACTCACTCAAGGTGAGTATGACAAACGCCTGTGACATTCATTCATCACTCCTCTGGTTTTGCCTTTTGTAAACTAGCAGTGCCAACAAATATCATCGAGGCGTTTGAAATGCAAGACCACGTTAAAGCCTTGGAATGAGTACAATATGGCAATTTCGACACCAAGGCAAGAGCTTCTTATTGGAAAACAGTCGGTTGTTAAATTGAGGAAAGACGAGGTAAACCTTGGCAAAAATATGTKAGTACAAAGCGGCATAACTCCTTTCAGGAGCGTGTCTGTGTGTTTCAGTAAGCTGAGACAAGGCTGTGATCACACTAACGTCTGTGAATCAGACTCACAGTTTCCTTTGTGATGACAAAACTTCAGAGCTGGACTGTTGGTTTGCACCTTGTGAAAGAGCCCGTGTGACCGTCACATCAACAGGCTGAATGAGAAACAGAAGTAGGACAGCACACTGGGTATTTCACATTTGTATGTTGACTATATGTTTGTCTGTGTTATTTTGAGGTCACGCTGCACGGTGGGGTGTTCTCAGAGGGCTCTGTAATTTGCTGTCTATTTTTGCCCTGGCACTGACAACACACTCCCACCATGCAGCTCCTCTCAAAGACGGGGGAAGAAAAAGCCAAACAGCACAGAGGATAGAAAGAGGTGGGGAAAATGGAGTGGACTGGACTGAGAAGTTAGGGAAATTAAAAAAATTATTTATTTATTTATTTATTTATTTATTTATTTATTTATTTATTAGGAGCCTTGCTACAGAATGTTGAGGGTGTGGGAAATGGCGCTCAACTTCTTAGAGAGTCTACTGTAAAAGCTCGTGTTTGGTTTTGATTACTAAGCTTAACAAGTAAACATTAGCAATCATGCACAAAATTCAATGATTGGATTGAAATGTATTTGGATTAAATAATTGGAATGTATTTTTTACATGTGCACAAAAGTAATTCACCTGATTATGACAAGCATTGACATGCAGCAGGCTTTTGTTCAGAATAGTACAGACATACGCAGAGTTGCAAACATTTCCCCCCAAAAACACGGAAGAAATTCTACTTTTGTGATACACATAAACAATAACGATGGAGACGTTACCGCTCTCTGTGTTCCTACGCTTTTTAACATCAAGGCTTTCGAGTGAGATTTTTCAAAGTTTCTAATAGAAATGTTGTACCGCTAATCGACCAGTTTTGCTTCCCTAACATACTAGCATCTAGCCCACATCAGGTTGRCATTGGTCACTTCAGTTTTCCACATCCAGAATAACATGATCAGAATCCACTTCAAATGCAATCGGTATAAACCGCCCCTCTCATTCAGACTAATTGTTTAAAGCTGAATCTGAATATTTTGATTTGGGTGTTTACATGATGCAATTTTATTCCAATTGGCCATTCATTCCGGTTACTTGTGTCAGTGTAAATATAGCTAATGAGTGCATAAATTTTAAACTAAYATAACAGCCTTCTTTATTTCTTTTTGGCACACCGGGTTGCTTGCTGAAGGCCATATTTATGTGCGCTATTTCACCAAATGTAAATGTTACAATAAAACAAAGTTAAGAAAAGGCAGAAATGAAAAGACATAACTCCTCGGTGTTCTTCTTGTCACACCATGTTTGTGCTGCCTCGCCACAACCATTAAATCCAGCCAAACAATTTATGATGCTGCTTGAATTTGGAATTCAGTTCACACATGGCTGTTCTGGTTGCTGTTGATTTACAACTCTCCCAGCAGCATTACTCTTTGGCTGATGTCTCACAATCAAGAATTGGTTGAGAATCATTCACTTAGCCACTTTTTTTATTCCTGCTTCAGTCGAGACTCAAGCAGTCCAGCAGCTCTGACTCTCAGTAGGTTGGTCAGCCATGGCAAATATTAGAACTGTGTTATTGTTTCGTTGCCCTGAACCACACAGTTATTCAAAGCAATCAAAATGGTGGTTGGCTGTGAACTTTGAACTTGAGAYAGCCTCAAAATGAGCTGACACATCTCAGAAAAGGAGWGAAAGAGGGGCTTGTGGAGTWACAATAAGTAGGAATTCAGACCAAAGCATCAATTCCATTTTATATGAACTCCAACCAGAGTTGTAAAGTAACTAAGTACAAATACTTTGTTACTGTACTTAAGTAGAAATTTTGGGGAACTGTACTTTACTTGAGTAATTATTTTTCAGCGTACTTTTTACTTTTACTCATTACATTTTTACACAATTATCTGTACTTTCTACTCACTACATTTTTTAAAAACGTAAGAAGTAGAAAGTCGTTACTCCTATTTTATTCTGAGTTATTACTTAAAAAATACTATCCTCATAAATTGTGTCTCCTGGATAGAGTGAATTTAATTGTGGTTAGATGATAAGTATAAAAATATACCATTTTGACATCCTATTAGCTTGTATACAACCCATCACAGCTGCACGCCGTTGGAAGAAATATTTTTTGGAGAAGTCATCTCCCAATAAATGTCATTTTGGAAAATCTAACCGCTGACTTTTACTCAGTACTTTTACTTTTAATACTTAAGTAGATTTTGTGTCAGAAATTTACTTCTGACGCTTAAGTACAAAAATATACTTTAATACATTAAGACTTTTACTCAAGTAATATTTTTAGAGAAGACTTTAACTTTTACGAAAGTATTTTTATGATAATATACTTGTAATTTCACTTGAGGTACTTTATACAACACTGACCCCAACTGAATGTTTTAAATGTGAAAAGGGATTGAAAAGCACGTCTCCTTTAAATTAACCAATTGGCAAGTGAAAATAATAGTATAAAAACACCAAAACCAAAGTTTCTACATTTTTTTTCAAGTGCACACATACTGTATTTGGAACAGGGAGCACACAGCTGTGAAAAACTATAAACTGGTGTTGAGTCTTGTCAAGCAACCTTTTAGACAACAGTGAGAGCATTAGTGAAATATTTGACAGCATGTATAAAAGCTGAGGACCACAGACAAATATATACCAATATGCTGTGTGTATGCTTACTTCTGTATTGGTGTTATCAAATTTACCAGCACAGACACACACACACACACACACACACACACACACACACACACACACACACACACACA